TACAATTAGACATCACAAAGTTGCATTTACGATACATTTGTCATTCGACGTTTGTGCGTTTGTAGGTTAGATTTAATGTGGGAAAGCCTGATCGTACAGCAAATACAAAGATTTTGGACAGTTTGTTACTAATATGAAGATAGTCCCATAACATAGCGTTACCACAACGTACAAAATAAAAAATTTATTTAAAAATGTATATTAAATTTGTTCCGTTTGATAATTGTGTATGCTTTTTTTGTACAGTTTTTTACTACCAATTCATACGAAGATAGATCCATAACAATTCTATTTTACCGAAATTTGGCCTCAAAATGTTTGGAGAAATTATCGGTAATACGCTGTTGCCAAATTTTGCACTAAAATCTTCAACTCCAATTAGTTTTTTTTTATCACAATTGGTTTGTACAAGATTCATAAATGATTTATTTTACAAAAATACTCACTAATTTATGTAAAATTTGGCAACAACGCGTTCAATTAATATCTGTCCAACAATAATAATATTTGTTGCTATTTTGGTAGTACATTCAAACTTGATATTACTGATAGTTTTTATAGTAAATTTGTTGTTTTCAATCTGGCAACAGCGATTTCAATCAATTTTCTTGGTCATACTCTGTTGCAAGACTTTGAGCAAACATTGCTGATCCAAAAGATTTGATATAAAATAAATTACTGTTAGTTTCGTAACAGCTTTTTATTCTGTAACAACGTTTTTAATTAAATGCACTGTTGCCAGATTTCTAGAATCAAAGATAATTTTTTTTATATCTAAATGATGGTTTTACAGCAACTATTATGCAAATTTTGACCTTTAGTTGGCAACAACGCTTTTATTACAACTTTGTTCACTACTGCATTGTTGTTAGACTAGGGATAAAAAATTTGATCAAAAAAATATACAAATAATTCTGATCCTTTGGCAACATCGCGTTTCATTCTATTCTGTTCTCTACTGCATTGTTGCCAGACATTTGAGTCAGTTTTGGGTAAAAATATTGACCTAAAAATAACGAAATAATTACGATGATTTGGCAACATCGCCAAAATTGTTGCCAGACTTTTGAGTAAAAATTTTGTCCTGAAAATATATGAATCTTTTTTTAAGCTTTACCAACAACGCATTTCATATAACTTTGCCCAACACTGCATTGTTGCCAGACCTTGGGCAAAAACTTTGCCCCAAAAACAAAGAAATAATTCCGATGTTTGGCAACATTGCATTTTATCCAACATTGCCAGACTTTTGGTAGAAATTTTGACCCTAAAAACATAGAAATAATTTTGATGCTTTGACAACATTGCATTTTGTCCAAATTTGTTCAGTACTGCATTGTTGCCAGACTTTAGGGTAAAAATTTTGCCCCAAAAAATAAAGTATAATTATAATGCTTTGGCAACATCGCGTTTCATTTAACTTTATTTACTACGGCATTGTTGCTAGACTTTTTGGTAGAAATTTTGACTCAAAGAAATAGTTGTGATGCTTTGGCAACAACGCATTTCATTCATATTTGTTCAGTGTGCATTATTGGCAGACTTTCATGAAAAAATTGTGTCCCAAAAAATAAAGAAATAATTCCGATGCTCTGGCAACATCGTAAATCATACAAATTTGTTGACTACTGCATCATTATCAATTAAAAATTTTGACCCGAAAAAATGAAGAAATAGTTCTGATGCTTTGGCAACATTGCATTTCATTCAAATTTCATCACTACTAGTTGTTGTCAAACTTTTGGGTGAAAAATTTGCCAAAAAAAATGTACGAAATAATTCTGATGCTTTGGCAACAACGCATTTTACATAAATTCGTTCACTACTGCATTTTTGCCATACTTTTAGAAAAAAAATGTCAAAAAAAATGTACGAAATAATTCTGATGTTTTGACAACATCGTAATTCATTCAAATTTGTTCGCTACTGCATTGTTTGCCAAAATTTGGCGTAAAAATTTTGATTTAAAAAAAATCTGATCTGGCAACAATGCTTCTTAATTTTTTTTTCGATCAAAACATCGTTGCCAAATTATACTCTAATAACTTGAATTTTAAATGGCAATAATGCTTGTATGAAGCTTTAAATTTGACAACAAAATTTTTCGAATGATCAATAATGCGTTTCTGCCATTTAATTAAATAAACCTAGTAACACCACAAGACACTATTGCCAAAATTAAGTTAAAAAAACAGTTGTCTAAGCAACTTACTCACGTTAAAAATATACTAAAAATTGTTAGTATTTTAGACATTTTGCCAAACAATAAATGTTCTATATAAATTTTTGTCACGAGCGCTCTGTCTACTACCTAATACGCCAGTCGGTGGAAAATTTGCAGCTATTCTTCCGAAAATTGATTTCGTTGCAAGTTTTCCATTGTTTATCCTCATTTTTTTTCTTACTAATGATTGATTTAAGCCTAGCTGAGCCTAAGGCCTTGACATGATTAGCACAGATGTCATTATCATCATCATCATCAACACAACAACAACATCAACATCATGAATTAAAATTTAGGTCTGTCCTTATTATATAATAAATGTAGAGTAGAGTAAGTGCATGTGAGAATAAAGGATAAACATTATTAGTAGAGTGTGTGTTTATGTAAATATTTAATTGAATGAATGAACTAAGTGACTTTTTTAATTTTCATCAGTTTCTATTTATTTTCCAAAGCTTGTTTATGTTTTTGCATGTTGTACCTTGAATATAATTATTATAGGTAATGCATGTGTTATTTAATTTTATTGGTCCAATTTAACTTTACTTGTGGCGTGTAGCAACGTGCCTTGGAACAACGTGAGCTGGAACTTCCCGTACTGTAACGAAATATTCGAGAAATTTCAAACGTTTTCAATATATTATTAGAAATACTGTAACTTTCATTATTTTTGTTATCTTGTTTGTTATATCTGAGCAAATCAATTGTAAATCATAAATCAATTTATCTCCCATCGTCATTTCATTTCGAATTCAATTCAAAAAAATAGTTTAGTTGCCTAATTACACAAAATTGAAAAAGTGCTCCCTTATAGTCACAGTCTAATATGCATTTGCAAATAATTCTGTGCGACATTTTCACTTATACTGTGCTTAGCTTGGCGGCATTTTCACATTTTTCAGTAGTATTTCACGAAATTGGAAAATTGTTCCAGTAGTATAAAACAGTCTAAACGCACTTGGGTAAACATTTATACCAGAGTGGCGCTTAGACTGTGCTTAGCCTGGGCAATTTTTTGAATTTTTAATCCAAAATTACAAAAATATTTTATGAAAAATAAAAATTAAAAAAATTTTTTTTTTGCAAAAGCAATTATTTTGTTGAAGCAAGCAGAAAGTTCTTTGAATCATATAAATGGGACACTTAGTTCTCTCAAAAACTGCCATTTTTTGCAAATTTAGCTCTGTATCTCCGAAACGGCTGGACCTGTCTCTGCCAAAAACTTATAACCACTTCTTCTCGTTATTACGAATTGAATGTTGCTCAAATCATTCAAATCGGATACTCCGTTCTCTCAAAAACTCGATTTCTATTTTCTGCACTTTTTGCTCCGTATCTCCGTAACGGCTGGACCTGCCTTTGGCAAAAACTAAACAGCACGTCTCCAATACGAATCGAATGTTTTTTGAATTATTCAAATTGCTTCATCCTGAAATCGTCGACGAAAATTTGTATCCGCACACACATACATACACGCACACACACACACATACATCCATTTTTTCTAAGGTATGCCAAAATATTCAGAAACCTCTGAAACATAAAGAAATATAAAAAATTTGATTTTTGATTTTTTTTGCGATTACTATAACTTGCCTTACGGGGAGTTAAAAATTGTATCCATACATACATACACACACAAAATGCAGAAAATTGAAATCTTGTTTTTGAGAGAACGGAGTATCGGATTTGAATGATTCAAAAAACATTCAATTCGTAATTACTGGGAGAAGTGGCTTTTAGTTTTTGGAAAAGACAGGTTTAGCCATTTCGGAGATACCGAGCTAAATGTGCAAAAACCGCAGTTTTTGGGAGAACTAAGCATCCGATTTGAATGATTCCAAAAACTTTCTGCTTGTATTGAAAACCGAATTTTTGTGAAAAAATTTTTTTTAATTTGTTTTTTTTTTAATATCTAAAAAATACATTTTTTACTAAATTTTATTGTTCGAATATTCTATTATGGTACGGGAAGTTCTAGCATTTTGCCTTAAGGCACGATGCCATACACTACTAATAAATTTGAACATGTCTAATTTGTTGCTATCAATTGATATAACTAGTTTTTTGGTCGAGTTGTTCAACAAATACTTGGCTTTGATAAAAAAAATTGGTTTAACTAATTTGTTGTTATCATAGATTGTTGGTTGAGTAGTTGGATATTGTGGTAATAAAGATTTCCATTTAAGATCCAAATTTATATTGAACTTTTTCCACTTTTATCCATTTGATACCATTTTCACCAGTCCATTTCTACTTTTTCACGATTCATATCTTCATTTGTTAACTTTTGTCCGAATTTGATCAACCGTTTTTTATCTTATTTTCCAACTCATCCATCTTATTTTATATTTTAAATTAAGTGATCGATTCTGCCACATAACCTTCATATATTAAGCTACTGAATAATACTGAATACTGTCAAAATGTCATGTATTTGCTGTGCATTCAGGCGTTTTACGCGTAAACTGCAAGGTCACACGTACGTTATGAAGCTGGGTCAGAAATACACTGTTATCCGAGATCGTTTCTTTGACATTGGTGCGGTTTCTAGCATCGGTTTTCTATAAGACAACTTGAGAAATACGCCTGACTGCACGGCAACCGCATAGCTTTTGTGAATATTTAGTATGGAAAGTTTCTCATAACAAGGCCTTGCCATAACATTCGTCTGTTGTGCGGCAGAATCTGTTCATAAATCAGTTTTTGCATGCACCAGTTTTCCATAAACGTTATTTCACCAGTTCACTTACAATTTTCTATTTTCTATTTCCAGATGAAGACGAATGCAAAGTCGTCCCAGACATTTGCGGAAACGGCGACTGTGTCAACACTTTGGGAAGTTTTCAATGTCGTTGTGAAGATGGATATTCGGTCAAACCTGAAGAAGGCCCTGAATGTGTCGATGAAGACGAATGTTTCCTCGGATCTTTCAATTGTCACGAAAACGCCGATTGTATAAACACACCGGTAAGAAAAATAGATACTTAGTGGTCAGTAGGGTTTGTCGGTTTTCAAAACCGGCTTTAAAAACCGGTTTTTTGGCGAAAATTATGGAATTTGAAAACCGGTTTCTAGTGAAAAAAGTCGGTTTTCACTGTATAAGTGGAAAATGACAAATATAGCCAAATATAAAATATAGATGAAAGCGTTTTGATTCTTGAAATCATATCGGTTAAATTATCATTTGATATCTTATCAGTCTGCAAATAGTTTCCAGAATAGTTTTGTGTTATCTTTTGTCCAATGTATATATTAATTTAGATTTTCACACCAGTTTGTATATTAATTTAAATCAGTGTGACTACTTGAAAAAGTAACTTCCTCTACTCAAACTTCAAAAAAAGAGTTTTGAGCCCTAGAAGCCACAAATAAAACAACAAAAAACTGAGAATTAATATATAAGGCTTTACAAACAATTATACCTAGCTCGGTCGCAAGTGAGAGAGTAATTTAATTTTTTTTAATTTTGTGTCTAAACAAATTTGTTTGTTTGTCTAGTCTTTAAAGACACGTCTAAGTAACGAATCGATAGTTCACAGTTTTTAAAATCATATTTTATTAAACAAAACAATAAATAGAATTTTTAAATTTAATTAATAAAAATTGCTCAGAATAGAAAAGCTTAATTATTTTTAAAACTGAAATTGATATTAACAAGTATGTATCAACATGTATCTTTTAATTATTATTTTAATTTTAATTATTTTTTAAAAATTCATAAATGTTTTTTATTTGAAAATATAATACATTTATTTGAAAACTTTCACTTCACTGTCATAAAAATATATATCCGCTATCATAAAATATAAATATATAATAACAAAATTATTTTCAAAGTTATTTAATCCAGATAAACTATTTATTTTCTACTATTTAAAATTAAAATAATTTTGTTTATTATCCATAAAATTAAACAATAAATAAATTCAGTGAAATTCTGCTGTAAATCACACTAAATTTGCGGATAAAGTTTTGTTATTACAAAATATTCGAGCAAAAATTTATTTTCTATATAAAGTTCGAAAACCTGTTGAAACCGGTTTTCTGGTAAAATTGAAATTCGAAAACCGCTTTTCTGAAACGTCAGTTTTTGTATAAACCCTAATAGATACTGAGTGGTCAGTAGGGTTTGTCGGTTTCGAAAACCGGTTTAAAAACCGAGTTTTTGGCAAAAATTATGGAATTCGAAACCGGTTTTTTAGTGAAAAAAGCTGGTTTTCACTGTATAAATGGAAAATGACAAATATAGCCAAATATAAAAGATAGATGAAAGCGTTTTGATTCTTGAAATCATATCGTTTCAATAGCATTTGTTATCTTATAGTCTGCAATGGTTCTCAGAAAGGTTTTGTATATATTAATTTAGATTTTTATACCAGTGTATATATTAATTTAAATCAGTGTGACTTTTTCTTGAAGAAGTAACTTTCTCTACTCAAACTTAAAAAAAGAGTTTTTAACCCTAGAAGCCACAAAGAACAAAAAACTTAGAATTATTATATCAGACTTTAAAAACAATTAAGGGTGTATTCTAGTGTAGAAATTAAAAAAAAACGTTTTTTTTATTTCATGTTTTTGAAGTTTCTAAGAATATGGGTACAAGAAAGTTTTTGAAAATTTGAATTATTTTCGGATATATAGGCATTTTACAGACTCGGTCTCCATACTGGTTTGTAGGGTTTATACAAAAACCGACATTTCAGAAAATCGGTTTTTGAAATTTAATTTTACTAAAAACCGGTTTTAACCGGTTTTCGAATTTTATATATAGAAAATAAATTTTTGCTCGAATATTCTGTAATTTATCCGCAAATTTAGTGTAATTTTAGAGCAGTATTTGATTGAATTTATTTATTGTTTAATTTTATGAATAGTAAACTTACTTAATACTTATTAATTTTAAAAATTATTCTAATTTTAATAAGTAGAACTAAAAAATAATAGTTTATCTTGATAAAATTACTTTGAAAATAATTATTCGCTATTCATGCATCATTTTCACATATAAAAATGAAAATATTTTTATGATAGTGAAAGAAAAGTTTTCGAGTAAATAAAAATAATACATTTTTAAATAAAAAACATTCATTAAATTAAAAAAAAAGTAAAAAATTATTATTGTGATTTAGAATAGTATTTGAATGAATTTATTTGTTGTTCAATTTCATAGCTAGTAAACAAAATTATTTTAATTTTAATTAGTAGAGCTAAAGAATAATAGTTTATCTTGATTAAATTACTTTGAAAATAATTATTCGTTAATTCATGCATCATTTTCACATATAAGAATGAAAATATTTTTATGATATTGAAAGGAAAGTTTTCGAGTAAATGAAAATAATACATTTTTAAATAAAAAACATTCATTAAATTTAAAAAAAAAAAATAAAAAAATATTAGATACATGTTTGTACATACTTGTTAATATCAATTTTAGTTTTAAAAACAATTAAGCTAAACCCCGAGTATTTTTTATTTCGAGCAATTTTAATTAATTAATTTTAAACATTCTAATTGTTTTTTTGTTTAATAAAATATGATTCAATAAACGTCTATCGAATTGCTACTTAGACGTGTCTTTTGTTTACTCACAAAATTCCTGAAATAGAAAATACTCTCATGCTAGCGAACAAATTATGCTTAATTGTTTTTAAAGCCTGATATAATAATTGTAAGCTTTTTGTGGCTTCTAGGGTTTCAAACTATTTTGTATTTAAGTTTGAGTAGAGAAAGTTACTTCTTCAAGAAATCATACTGATTTAAATTAATATATATACTGGTATAAACATCTAAATTAATATATACAAAACCTTTCTGGGAACCATTGCAGATTGATAAGATATCAAATGCTATTGAAGCGATATGATTTCAAGAATCAAAACGCTTTCATCTATCTTTTATATTTGGCTATATTTGTCATTTTCCATTTATACAGTGAAAACCGACTTTTTTCACTAAAAAAACGGTTTTCGAATTCCATAATTTTCGCCAAAAACCGGTTTTTAAAACAGATTTTTAAAAACCGACAAACCCTAATAGATACTGAGTGGTCAGGATGGACGTCTGATTTTTTGTTTGTTTTTTCTGTTTCAGGGATCTTACCAGTGTCGTTGCCAGGAAGGTTTTACAGGAAACGGGATAACTTGTCGGGATATCAACGAATGTTTGAACAACAACGGTGGTTGTCATCAGAATGCCCATGTATCAACAATGATGGATCTTTTAAATGCGTGTGATACTGGATTCAAAGGAGACGGTCTTTTTAAATGCGTTTTGTGATACTGGATTCAAAGGAGACGGGTGAGTGGATAGTTCACTAGTTGTAAGTGGCATTTTGCCTATTTATATTAATTATACTAGCTGACCCGGCAAACGTTGTTTTGCTAAGTAAGTTATACTCTAAACAATTTCTAGAGAATTAAAAATATTAATACTTTTAGTGTATAAGAATGTGTTGTTTGAATGATATATACAATGAGGTATTATAAAAAATAATAACCCCATTAGTTTGTCTATATTTTGTCTAGAAGTATTATACACTTTCCATTGAAAACATGGTATAATCCAATCCAATCTTTAATAAAAAGTATATATGTATAGCAGGGCGAGGCCAAAAGGTTTATTTGACTTTGAGCAAATGTAAATTATATTATGAAAATCAAACCAATTATATTACAACAAATAACACATTTCAAACAAACAATTATCCGACTACGTTCAGTAAAACTGCCAGCTACTTCATCATTGTAGAAATGTGCTTTTTTGCTGTATTTCAAAAATTTGTTATCTATATGTTTTTACCCCATAGACGAGGTAACTTGGAACGGCCAGGTGGCAAAGTTTGACATTTGACCGTCTATTGTTCTATTTAAATTACGCTTTTAACAAAATCTCACCTTTCCGACAACCTACTGATTAGCACGAATTTTTCAAGACTAAGGACTGGCCAAATCGGTTTAGCCGTTTTCGAGTTTTTACCGAATCATTAGATCGACAGCTCCATTTTTATATAATTTTGGAACACTTTGCTGCTCTTCCCTGATTCTATAGGATTGAAATTTGATCTTTACAAATTTCTACAAAATTATTAGATTTAAACAACGAACTGTCTAATTGAAGAATTGAACAATCTCTTTTTGTCATTTCCCAAATAAAGAAACCCACTTATTATATATTACTATTGACTTCACAATCCGTCAAAACTTTATTTAAATTTGTTGGTTAATTTGGTATATTTTGTATAAATCTGCGCCTACATTTCAACGTAAAGAACTCTCCAATAACATATTTTTTTCCGGAAAATAGAAAAAATAATTAAAATCAAAGTGTAAAAAAATATATATTACTATGTTCTAAGAATTGTCATATAATTTTATATTGTTTTTTTCACGTTTAAATATCTAAGTTATACACAAAGTTAAAACGGTCATTTTGTCGTAGGGTTGTAACATTTTAGTATATTTTACCAAAACTAATCAGCACACGATTCCCAACCAATATCTATCGAATGATTTTTGAATTATCAAAATCGATTCAGAATTGCAGGCTAAACGTGGACATTTTTTTTCACTTTTCTGCTATTTACTAAGAAACGGCTTGGCTGATCGTTGCGCAAAAAACTAACAACTCAAGTCCTTATCGAGATATATGAATCGCTTTTCAATTTTTGAAATCGGTCTAGCCGTTTTTTGAAAAAAGTCGATTTACGGCAAAAATCTGCTCACACACACACGCTTGTTCCAAATTCGGCCTCATAGCTTGAAACGTCGAGAAAATATAAAAATCGAAGCAAATCGGATTTTTTATGAAAACATAAACTTCTCCTTCGGCAAGGCAAGAGGCAGTTTTTTGTATCATTTGTTTTTTTCAGAGTCTTCTGTACGGATATCGACGAATGCTCCAGCGATGAAACTTTATGTGACAACGGCCAATGTTTGAATTACCCAGGAGCTTTCAGATGCGAATGT